AATATTTTGTTTTTGGTGTATTTTGTTTTGTTTTTAGTGAATTTTGTTTTGTTTTTAGTGTATTTTGTTTGGAAGTCGGTTTTGTTTTTTTTAAATTTTCGTGTCGGTCTCTGAATAGCTAAATTAAGGTTGATATCGTCAGTCAATTTAAATCGTAAATCAGTTCTATAGCATTGTGACCAAATGTTAGTCAAAACAGCTTAACATAATCAACAATTCATCAGGCAGTGGTGAGGCGTGCCAAAGTTTCTAATGTAGACGGTTTGCGGTCGCACAAGTCTCAAGGAAAACCCAATTGTATTCGAAAATAAATCCTTGTGCTAATACATATTATTGTTATACAGCGAATAAACTATGTAGATTCAATATATCTTCAGGTCAACTTTATTAGTTACTTAAAACTATATTTAAATAGGTTTTAAATTTGATAGATGCTGCTATAAGACATAGATACTCAGGAAAAGAAGTCCAGGAAGAAAAAAATCGTCACCGTATGCGTGCTATACTTCGAACTGCTGAGGCTATAGTTCAATTTGCCATGATTATAGTCAACCTTCATTAGGAGATGGCCCCAAAAGAAGAATATGAAATGATCAAATCGCAATCAGAAACAAAAGAGATCAGATGTCAAACAGTATTTTCATTAAATTTAAATGCAATAAAAACACAAAGCAACTATGTTCAGTGAACAAAGATAATACAGTTTAAATATGCATTTAAATCGTGACTAAGTAAAGATATTTATTTCTTTCGTATAAATTTTAATGGCTTCATAAATATAGGCTGATAAATCGAGTCATAACAGTCTATACCAGATGGGTTTTTTGAGAGTTAAAATAATTATATTAATGGCCAGTTTTCCCAGCTACATTAACCCACTTCTTAGTGTTTTTGGTTCAATAACTTCATTAAAGTTTCCTAACTACATTACTGGAGTTTTATTCCGTTGATACTTAGGTTAACCTAACAGTAATGAACTACAGTAATACCCCGTTTAGCGCGACCCCGTTTCGCGCGGTTTCACTATAACGCGAATTTCAAATTTCGCGCTCAAATGTCACGCATTACGCGAAAGAAAGCGTATAAACATAATGTAGTCATTAACTTCCCTATGGTCGCGGGATTGTGTCTCGACCGTGTGTAAAACAATTAAAAACAGTGTTGGGTGTTATGAACGTATTTTACAAGAACGTAATCAAAACGCTATCCCAAAGACAATAGATGTACTTTTCCGTAAAAATAAGAGCATTGCATAAAGTTTTCTCAGAATTAAAGTGATTGATTAAAATGGTTTGTATTGTTTTGTATTAAATTTTGACTATGTTTCATAATAAACCTCGAATTACGCGAATAAACGCTATTTTCTTCATAACGTATCTCTCGCGTAAAGCGGGGTATTACTGTACTAGGTAACGATAAACAATCGGAAACTTAAACGACAGCATAAGATGAATTGGAGAATTTAATGTTTTGTATAATACACGTCACAGAAGAAGTATAATTCCAGACGGCAATGAGTGGACAGTATTATTAAAACTCATTATTTACCTCCTCGAAAACTTTCGTTACGTAATAATGACGCTAATTTATTAAATTTGTCATAATATTATCATTCTACCACCCAAGTCTTAAAATACTATGATTCGCGTATGTAGGAAATTCCTAGATTTTCCGGAACGGGACTGTTAAGTAGCAAATAATTATTAAAGTTAAGAGGAACTAACAAAGTTATCTTTGTTGGATTTGTTATTTACAACGTAATTAAATTTAAATAAAGTTTCAAATGATTTTAAAACAATGAACGAAAAAAAATAAAGCAGTATGTAATTAGGGCATAAAATAAGAACAGTTAACCGTAGAAGGTCAAAATAAATCCTAGATTATTGTAAATTAACATTTCACAATACAATAATAGTTGTTAAGGAAAAAGATTTAATTTTTATCACGATTCAGTAGATAACAGCAAATATATAAAAAAAATAGTTACAGATTATTAATGACAAAAAAATTCAAAAACAAAGTTAAATAATTTAAAAATTAATTAAAATAATGAGGTAAAATTAATAGCCCAAACGGCTGAACGAAACTCGATGAAATTTGGCATAGATGTAAAGGATAGCTTATAAGAACACATTAGATTTAAATTCCACGCGGACGGAGTCGCGGGCGAAAGCTAGTATTTATAAATTTTATATGCATACAATAATAACCTTTGCTGGCCTTTGATAAATGAAACAAAGTAAATCTTGGCAACACATCGCATTTTCTACGAAACAATTTGTGTTAATAGTTTGATAACATTCTAAGAATTTCTTTATTTTATGTTCCGTAGTTTCAACAAACTGGTACATCAGGGAAACCTTTGAACTGGGTTTAACTAAACTACAAGACATTATCTGGCAGAGATCGTGTTTGTAGAAACTGTTGAAGTGCTAGTTCTAAGCATTGAAGAACATTTGTACAAGAATCATAACAATCAAGCCCATTTCTACAATACTATGTAAGTTACGAGAATTAAGTTAACTTTGTGCTACTGTGTTTATGACGAGACGGGGACATAAACCAGAAAGTGTTAAGAATGAATGTGGATGGCTACAAAGGAAGAGGAAGACCGAAGAAAGTATGGATGGATTGTGTGAAAGAGGATTTGCTTAAGAAAGAAGTGGATTCAGATATGACGGCTGATGAGATGTATGGAAGAGCAGCACATACTGTGCCGACCCTCCACAAGGGATAAGGGCAAGTTGATTATGCTTTTATGTTTTTATGTTTTATGTTATTTATTATGGTTTTATGTTTATAAACAACAATTTACTAGACATTTATGTAAAATAATAATTTTCTAACATTTACCCACTCCAAACAAAGTTTATCAAATAACCATCGATACTAGAAACCAATTATCTGTTACAACTTTGTCCGAATAAGATTTGTTAATAAACGTAGTTTGTTATAGATAAAAAAACATACAGACATTCCAAATTAATTAATTTACTTATTTGTGGGTTTATGTTATCGACAAACGTATTGTAAACTAACTAACACATTCAATGCGACACGACACTAGTGAACATGCAGGGCGAGTCGGTGGCAAACATCGTGTTAAATAATGTAAATGCAGTAAGGATTAAAAATCTTTATCTATCTTTTCAAAAAGTAAGAGTAGTCTCTATGCTTATAAATTGATAGTCAAACGTAAAACATCGTTACTATCTCTACTATTATAATAACGCGTAAACACATACTTCTTTGTTGCCTAAGATGTCAGCAATTATAGCATATTTTCGAATAATTCTTTTTTAAATAAAAAGCCCTACACGCTTTAGGCTAGACATTTTAACGCCATTAAAGTTAGGAGGCAAATATTTTGGATAAAAACCCTAATGTGGGAAAGAGACCATAAGTTGCTGCCAACATCAAGGAAGCAAGATTGCCAAGTAGGTTAAAAAAATGCTTTACATGTTTATTTTTATTTAATTCTTTAAAGTATGAATTATAATATCAATTTAATAAACCGCTCTGATTTATACGTGGATATTAAAAAATAGCTCAACAAGCTTGAACAATGGACGAGGAAAAATAGTAAAGTGATTATGCAACGGCATGTAGCGGTCATTGACCTGCTTTGATAATATGGCCCTGTGCAACAGAATGTCAGTTTAAATATAACGCACTGTCCACACGTAATGTGACAACTTATAAGCTTATGACGCTCGTTTTTTTGTTGTAACCGTGGGTTTACACAGCAACAATATTTATCATAAAAGACTGCTGCCTTTTCTCTCATTCTGTGTCAATAAAATGATATGTTTTATGGCCGTTTCGGCAAAGTTCACTACAACGTGTGAACTCCTGTTTTATTGTGGGTTTCTAGTTTCTACTGAAGAATCATTTGTATCAATCTTCTTCTAAACATGTAAACATCTTCTCAACTCGCTCATTACCTCCGTAAAACTGAGATAGCAAAACATTTTTGTGTTGCGATTCTATCAGTGGAAACACACGGTTAGTTGTAGGAGCTTACAAAGTATACGTCTGTGTGTGTGAGATTAACGTAGTGTATAAATATATCTGTTTATGTGTGCGTTTTAACGAGCAGTTCCCGATCGGTGCTATTTATTTCAGAGGTTGTTTGCTTTGAAATGCAAAGAGCTGTAGCTGATTTTAAAAGTTATTGCAGATGTGGAAATGTTTTTTATTTATTTGATATAGGAGATAAAAACATGTGAAATGCGTCATAATATGGTAATAATTGAAAATATGTAAGAAGAGTATTGATCTTACGATCGACTTGTAGATCTGTCTATTATGCCCAGTTTGCAATATGCTAGTGATTAATGAAATAGTTAGCTTAGTTAGCAAACTTAAGAGCCCTTTATCGCCTTAGCGAAGCAATTTCGGATAGAGGTAAGTCGGATCAAGTCGTCATATTTTCGACTAAGGAGTATGTGATAGTCCCTTGTACAGGACTTTCCCGGACCCCTTATAGTGGCTAAAATACAAATAAATTTTAGTATTTCAAGCATGTTTCATTTCCAACTTCCTAGTCGACTAAATCACTAGCCCAGTGAGAACTGCATTAAACTTGAGTAGTATTCTAGGATCCTAAGTTTTTTTTTTTATAATACAAGGTGGCAAACGAGCAAGCGGCCACCTTAATCCACCGAAATGGAAAGCGACCGCTACCCATAAACATCCGCAATAGCAGATGCGTTACCTACCCTTAATTGACGGACGAGGAGACGCACATAAAGAGAACATTTCCCCTTCCTATTCGTCTCCTCCACCGTCAAATCCACTTTTCCTTCCCATCCTTTCAACTTAAGAAAAAGATGGAAAGGGAAAGGGACTTAAATTAGGCCTCTGGCACC